GACAATTGCTCTTATGATTGATTGTATCTTACAATTCTCATATACATTCCTCCAAGTGACTTAGATTCTCCTCTCTTTTTTTCTTTAAGGGGAGAGAGGGGTACACGTTCCTTGCCAACTTCATGTACTCTATATGTGAAAACAGAAAATGTCTAAACTTCAGAGCAGCTGCCCCTAGTCCCCTACTGTCCTCTCCATAGGGTGGAAGCAAAAGCCTTTTTTTTTTTTTTTTTTTTTTTAACGAGGTGTCCCAGCTTGCGCCAGACTATATATCCTCGTCCCTGAACCTCCGGCCCCTCAGCTGCTCAGGGAGGTAAATCGCAGGATGTGCCTTTGTTGGTTCCCAGGTTCCCACATGGCTTTTACTCCTTCCCCAAAGGAAGCCCCCTCCATGGTGATTAATCCACCAATAATTCCTCCTTTATTGGATCAAAGGTTCCCACCAGGAATCGAACTCCCCACGCTTAGTTCCAGAGCCCCCCAATGTGATTGTTCCGCCAACTTGGATGTGCCCTGGGGGGCCAAAAGCCTTTTGTTCTTTCTCATGAAATGTAGTTAACTAAGAAAGGATTAATAAATTGAAAAAGTATGAAAAGCACATTGTGTTGGATACCTTCATACCATGTTTCCGCTCACTGCAAATCAGCGTGGCGATTTCTTACTTTTCCCAACACCAAAAGCTATATAGCATCAAAGAACATGTAACGGCATAAATGGCTCCCTTACCTGATTCTTCCTGGTTGGATGAATGGTGAAATAACATTTTTCATCTTTAGCAAAGATAAGTTGTTTCTTGTTTTGTTTAAGATAAAATAATGCTACTACCATCCAGTTCATACTTTTGTCTTTTATGTACAATGTCAATTATTTACCCCCAAGGGAATAATCAAAACTCACAAAACAGAGCCATACCATGGAGTCAAATAGACTTAACTAATTTTGTGTGTTTAAATTCTAAAAAAGAATGTAAATTTTAATTTGTTAGGAAAATGTCTCCAATACCTGATACACCGGACTACTTGCAAGAATGCACGTAAAGATGAAGAAAAACATGCAAGTAAATGAACATTGTCTAATATGATTACGCATTTGAGATAAGCAGTAAATCAAAGGAATTTGGATCTTGTTTGTTACACTTTTGGGATCGGAAATGGATTTTAGCAGCAAACTGTTTGACGATATAGTGTTCGATCAATTAATCAATATTCGATTGATTGGTCTGAGGTTATCGACAAAAAAGATTTGTCTAAGCCACTTCGTTTCTTTTTGTCCAAGTCATTTCTTTTTTTGTCCAAGTTGCTTTTCTTTTTGTCTAACTCACTTCCTTTTTTCTATGTGAGTTTCGGGAATATCCCCATTCATAAGTCCGAGATCTACATCTATGAATTGAAAGGTCCGAATGATCAAATCTGCAATCAGTTGTTAGAATCAATAGGTTTTCAAATGAATTCTGAGTTGTAGGGAGGGATTTATGTCACCACAAACAGAGACTAAAGCAAGTGTTGGATTCAAAGCGGGTGTTAAAGAGTACAAATTGACTTATTATACTCCTGAATACGAAACCAAAGATACTGATATCTTGGCAGCATTCCGAGTAACTCCTCAACATGCCTCGGTGCCCTAGTAGTGGTCAATAAAATATTTATAATGAAACTCACTTTGAAATCATGTTTTGCATGCAGGATTTTCAACCATGTCACACGTCGTGCATTTTAGTCAGCATAATCTTAGAATGGTCTATTGTGATTTAGGTGCAAGAGAACTTTCAAGTTATATTTCAATGCATCTAACTATGATATGGTATATCTGACAAATGTTGTTAGTTTTATGTCCTCTGTCCCAGACAACGTGGTAGTGATTGTGCTAGCTTGCCTCCATGCTCCCTTTCTTCTCTTTTGGTTTTAAATAATGATTTTGAATTTCTTTGAAAAATGAATGATGAGGTTATTGTTGTTCCATTTTCTTTAATATATCATGTACCCTGTGGGTTCTCCACGCAAAAGTGAAAGGTATGTCTTCATCGGCTATGACTCTCGCTCTAAAGGCTACAAGTTGTATAATCTAAACAATGAAAAGATCACCATAAGTAGAGATGTCGAGTTTGATGAAGAAGGAGCTTGGGATTGGGGTGTCCAAGAAAAAGACTATGACTTCTTACCATTCTTTGATGAAGAAGAACAAGAGAATGAAGAGCAATAAGAGATTATCAATCCACCTCTATCACCTATCCATGGAGATGCTTCTCCATCATCTTCACAAGGAGAAAGTTCAAGCGAAAGGACACCACGGATGAGGAGCCTACAAGAGCTATATGAGGTAACCGAAAATCAAAATGATCTCACACTTTTTTGTCTTTTTGTCGATTGTGAACCAATAGGGTATGAAGAAGCGGTGCAAAATAAAAGATGAAGAGATGCCATGGATGAAGAGATTAAGGCTATAGAGAAAAATGACACGTGGGAGCTGACAACTCTTCCCAAAGGAAAGAGAGCAATCGGAGTTAAATGGGTATACAAAGCAAAGAAGAACGCTAAAGGAGACGTAGAAAGATACAAAGCAAGATTGGTTGTTAAAGGCTACAACCAACGGTCGGGAATTGATTATGAAGAGGTATTTGCTCCTGTTGCTCGTTTAGAAACCATAAGATTAATTATATCTTTTGCAGCGCAAAATAAGTGGAAGATATTTCAAATGGATGTGAAATCAGCTTTTCTAAATGGTTATCTCGAAGAAGAAATTTATGTGGAACAACCAATGCGCTATAAAGTAAAAGGACATGAAGGTAAAGTCTTGAAACTAAAAAAGGCTTTATATGGGTTGAAAGAGGCTCCAAGGGCATGGAATAGTAGAATTGACAAGTATTTTCTAGAAAATAATTTCACAAAATGCCCTCACGAGTATGCCCTTTATACAAAGGTAAATGAGAAAGGAGATATTTTGCTTGTTTGTTTGTATGTAGATGATCTTATATTCACAGGAAATAATCAAAGTATGATCACTGAGTTTAAGAAGGTCATGGTTCAAGAATTTGAGATGACGGATATCAGCCTCATGGCCTACTATCTTGGGATAGAAGTAAAGCAAATGGAGGACTGCATTTTCATCTCACAAGAAGGTATGCGAAAGAAATTCTAAAGAAATTCAATATGGAGGATTGTAAGCCCGTATGCACCCCCGTCGAATGCGGAATCAAGTTGTCGAAGAATGATGAAGGTGAAAAAGTAAATCCAACACTTTTTAAGAGTCTTGTTGGAAGTCTAAGATATTTGACGTGCACAAGACCAGATATTCTTTTTGGAGTTGGACTCATTAGTCGCTATATGGAGACACCTACCATGACCCATATGAAAACTGCAAAGAGGATTATTCGCTACATCAAAGGTACACTTGATTATGGCTTAGTCTATTCATCATCTAATGAGTTCAAACTTCTTGGATATAGTGACAGCGATTGGGACGGAGATAGTGATGATAGAAAGAGTATGACTGGGTATGTGTTTTACTTGGGCAACACAGCTTTCACTTAGAGCTCAAAGAAGCAATCGATCGTAGCACTATCTACATGTGAAGCTGAATATGTTGCAGCTACATCAAGTGTCTGCCATGTGATTTGGCTTAGAAACTTGTTGAAGACGCTTGGAGTATCATAAGAAGAGCCAATCAAAATCCATGTTGATAACAAATCGATATTGGTATTGGCAAAGAACCCAGTATTCCATAATAGAAGCAAGCACATTGATACAAGATATCACTTCATAAGAGCATAACAGAAAGCATTGCAAAGAAAGAAGTGCAGCTGAAATATATAACCTCCCAAAAGCAGATTGCCGACATTCTCACTAAGCCACTCAAGCATGATGTGTTCCGCAAGTTAAGAACTCTACTTGGAGTAGCAAAATCAAGTTTAAGGGGGGATGTTGAGTAGTAAACTTGATTTTTGGACTAAATAATATGGACTTAAGGATTTTGCTTATAGGCCCAAATCAATTAAAAGACCCAACATGCATAGCATTTCTAGAAGTATTATCTAGAAAAATCTAATATAAATATCTACTAGAACAATCTATATAAATATCTAAGTAAGATATATAAAGAATATTTAGAGAACTCTTGGAAAATATCTTGATGTGTGGTCTAGGTGTCTCTAGAAAATGTGTGGACTAGAATCTTCTTATAAACACTATATAAAGGGATGGTGCTCTCCATTTTGTAACAAGCCAAAAAGTGTGTAAAGTCTTGAATTTGATAAATACAAGTTTCCTTTTTTCACTTACTTCTTCCTATTAGTGTTGTCCTCTATCAAGCCTTAGCCAATCCAAGTTAGAAAACCCATATTTCCTCCAACATTATAAAGCTTCGGATAGAAGTAATATACTCATTCTTCTAGTTTCTCAATAATATCTTCATCTTGGGTTTCTTAAAGTTTAACACATCCAGTTGTTTTTTGTTCTTTTATCTGCAGAAAGATAATATATGAGGTGAACATGCTTAGCAATGCTAACTTATAGTTCAAGGGTCATTTAGAACCCTTTAAAAATTTTAATCAAGCAGACTGACTTCATTTATGGGAGTAATCTGTAGTTGACACACTTCAGTTCTAAATTCAAGATTCGATGTGAAAAATAATAATTTAAAGTTTTATTGATATTCGGATCTAATGGGTTTTGCTTCCTTTTGGACAACAATTTCGTTTCTTTTCCTGTTATTCTCTATATGTTTTACAATTGAATGGTCTTGAGATCTGCATGATGTTGGTCTATGGAAGTACAAGAAGAAATCGGAGTACTGGCCATGTTTACTTAGTTAACATTCTCTTGCAACCAAGTTTAAGACAAAGATTCTACTTCCTGAACAATCAAAATACTTACTGATGGGTTTACAAGGTAAAAGCTGCATGTTTAGCTGAACAGGGATTAAACTAAGTTTGCAGAATGTGATTATTTTTCTCTCCCTAAGACATTTGTAGCCTTTTATTAACCACTGTCCTTTTATTTAGCTTTCAGAAAAACCGGATTGGGCTTTCATGGAAGAGAAAAAAAGCCAGATAGCATTTTTGTTCGGTGATGATGATCACTGGGGTCCATTGCATTTAGATGAAGAGGTAATTATATGTTATTTTGTTATTTCTACATTTTGTTGCCATTCCTCAAAATTTTAAGGCTTTATAATTTTTAGGAGGATTTCATTCTATATCGCGTTCTTATTCTGAAATATAGGGACTCAAACGCTTTCAACTTTCTTTTTGTCTACCATTTTGTATGATGACAGTGGCAGCTTCAATCGTTTTAAGCATTACTTTGATTTTCCTACACAAGGAAATTGTAAACAAAGGCGAAAATACATACTTCTACAATTTAATTTTCAACTAAGTTGAAATATTTTTATCTCTCTTGGATGGATCTACTTTATAATCTTGATGTAGGTAGCCTAGCAGTTTTACAGTTTTTGCACATAGGAGTACTCCAACTGCATAGGGTACAATACAACGTCGACCTCTTGTCAAGAAGTGGGTGTACAAAATTTGGAAGGATATTATGTTTCCCATTAAAAGCACCATTTTTCAAACTTCCTCGATCGCAAGGAAATATCAGGCTACTTCACAACATCTTGCCCCTCTTGGAACAAACATGCAACATTTATTTTCATCAGAAGAAAACTACTGCTACTTCTACACCTCTTCTGCCTGGGATTTATTTTCCTCTCAAACTATGGTTCATTGTACAAATGCAACTAGTTAGACATCAAGATGGTTGTCCCGAAGAAATGTATACCTACAAGGCTACAAGTCTGGTTCCTCAGTATTCTATCTTATCAGCCTATACCTTCTGAAATGAGCAATAATTTACTCAAATCCGTCTGGATATTGCTGTCATGTATTTCTTAATGAGTTTCAAACAATTTATTTCCAAGATACTTGAGGAAATAAAAACTGGATTTTCTTTTTTTTTTTTTTTAACATTGAGGATAACAATAGAGTGCTTAAACATAGGTCGAAACGAAGGTGCAAGTGACGTGACAGTTTAAAGTGCTGAAGATATTCGTGTTGCTAATCACATATGGATGGAATGGAAGGATGAACGGTGTTATAAAATACATTCTGTATAGCCAATACTATCACCATGAATATTTTCCCTTTCCATTTCTAAATGACAGAAGTATGCTGAAACATTATCCTCGTTTTTGAGTCTATTTGGTTTTTAGTTTCTATATTATTGAGCCTATCCCTCTTATAGCATTTTTAGTACCGTGAACTGGAAAATACTGATAATTGTTAGAGACGAAAAAAAGCAAGAAATCTTATAATTATAATGTCTAGTTCTATCGAGTAGTGCCTACCAAATATGCCTTCACTGTATTCACGATATGCTCTGATCTCATCTTTGTTCTATGTCCGTGCTCACAGATTCGCAAGCAGATCCCTAACGCTCCTGTGGCAGCTGAACGCGAGGGTAATACTCATGCTTTCTCTTGCTAAGATACTGGATCATTGTGGGTTGCTCAGCATGTGGTGAGCTTGATCAAGAATTGTATATCAAATTCAAATTTATGAAGGCTACAGAAATAGTCCAATGACATCTGCACTAAGCAATACTGGAAGGATTACGAGAACTGGTTCACAATTATTCTGAAGGACTGTATTTCTCTTTATGGTATGTTTGGTAAAGCGAACTAGACATCATCAGACAGTATTAAACAAAGAAAAAAGCTCAAATTTTATCAATTGTATTATCTAGTCGTGTCTTGTATTGCATGGCATGACCTGAGTGTAGCTAGGATTTAAATTACCGTGCAGTTCTTTTTTTCCAACTTAACTCTCTTCCTTGATGTTTGATTATTACAATATGATTAATTGGAGTTCCCTAAAACGTTTAAGCATTATTCATTTTGCTCGGAATATGATTAATTGGAGTTCCCTAAAACGTTTAAGCATTATTCATTTTGCTCGGAATATGTCGTTACCATAAGGAGAAAATGTTTACTCAATTCTTTCCTTAATTTACGACAGTAGAAAGTTCATCAAAACTAATTCGGGTTTCCAAGTTTTACCAATCAGATGATTTTTGTTCATAGAAAGAAAGGTACATGAAAATGTCCCAAAAGGGAATCACTGAAGTTATTACACTACTGAATTCAATGTTAAGAAACTTAAGACCGTATTCTTGGAGGGAAAGGGGAGACACGAAAAGGCATACTTCTATTCTACTTGGGAAGATGAAGACCTTGCAAAAATGTATGTTCCTGATGTACAAGATTCTTTCACATCTTTCAAGCTGGAATCTAACTTTTTTAGCACTTCTGATCTATTTGGTATCTGAGTATATCAACTTGGGATCTCCAAAATTATGTTGATGATAGAAAATACCAAATTTGGCTGGCTTTTTACTCTTACACGAATAATTTGTTTTTTTTTATTTATTACATGTTTGATAAGTTGAGTTGAACAAAATAAATAAAACAATAGAGAATTATCCTATTTGTACATTGAAAATGTACAGTTTTATTGACATTTAATAAGGTGTATAAAATTGCGTTATTGATTGTTTAAAGTGTTGTTAAAATTAATGAAAAAATGTTGGCCACCGCACACACTGTCAATAAAACTATACATGTAGCTGACTCAACTATACAGGTGATAAAGTAGTTGCCAATTAGACTTTTCAATGTACTGTATCTATAAATTTGAGCACATCTGAATCGTTGGTGATGAATCAAGTGACATTTCAGATAGAACCCAGATCATCACATACCTATCGTCGTGTCAGCTTTCTATATATGCATGTGTATAGCTTATTAATATTTTAAAAGGAAAAATTGTAGCAGCGATCCCTAATCTTTTCATTTTTTGCAGACTTTACCCTAACCTTCATTTTTGTGCAAGCGGAGGTTCGTAACCTTTCATAAATATGCATCTGAGGTTCATCTTGACGAAAATCGTCCAAAACACCGTCAATTGATCAGGAAAATTAAGGAATCAATATCCAATAAAATCGTCCAAAATTGCTGTCCAAGAAGGTATCATCATTCAATAAAATCGTCACGTAGCAGATAGTTTAAGGACTTTTCCACGTCAATTGACGGTGTTTTGGACGATTTCCATCCATATGGACCTCAGGGATATATTTATGAAATGTTAGGGATCTTCGCTGACGAAAATAAAGGTTAGGATAAAATTTGCAAAAAATGAAAATGTTAGGGACCACTGTTGCAATTTTTCCTATTTTAAACTTACACATCGATTCCTATAATCTTTTTATTTGACTAAATGCCCAACGTAAGGGTGTTAAGTGGAGTAATATATTAGTTGACTCAACTAGTCTAATCTATCAAGCAGCAAATTTCTCATGTTAGTCACTCATCGCCCGTCATATGTCAATAATAAAAGAAGGCTCCCACCTAAGAGCGAGTTCTTGGATTAGTCAATTTCCGTGGCACGCTTAGTAGAGTCCGATAATGAGCGAGCCAAGCAGCTCAGCTCATTTAACGCTCCTAATAATGTCACTACAAAATAAGCATTGCGATTGTTAACATTTTAATGTAACAAGCCTGTCGCTCTTGTTCATCACAGCCCACTTGAAACGTTCCACATATATGCATCTCATTTTTGTGCTCCTAATCTTGTGCACTAAATTAAGATATCTCAATTAATTCCTGTCAGATTAGCACAAAAAGTCACTCTAAGAGCCCAACTCCACATGCAGAATTTATATGAGAGAGGGCAGCCTCCCATAGTTCCAATTCCAATGCGCAGCACTCCCTGAGGCACCCCCACTCTCCATAACACACTAAACACACTGAAAAGCACACAGAGAAAACCCAGTTTTTCTCTGAAAGATGCCAACCAGCAAGAAGTACATTCTCAACACAGTCACAGTGAACTTAGGTTGCAGCAGTAGTTGCAGAAGGCCAAAACTCTCCTCCGTTTTTCACCCAAAACCAAGATGTAAATTACCCTCTTACCGCCATCACCAATACTCTTCTTCAAGCTCACGGAACACCACCACCACTGCCACCGCTGCCACCACATTTTCCGACATGCCACCAGCCTCCTACTCCTCCGACCCCGAGTCAGATATCAAGAGCTTGAGGGCTGTTCAAGGCTTTGGAAATATTGGCGGCCAGAGTGTGGCAGTGGAGAAGGACTCAGACGACCCTTATCTTGATTTCCGGCAATCAATGCTGCAAATGATACTGGAAAAAGAGATTTACTCGAAGAATGATCTTAAAGAACTTCTTAACTGTTTCTTGCAGCTGAATTCACCACATTATCATGGAATCATTGTTAGAGCTTTTACAGAGATCTGGAATGGGGTTTATTCAGTAAGGTCTCCCTCCCCCAGGTTGCTTGGAATGGGGACGTCTCGTGACTTTTAGGTGATGCGCACGGGCAATGCATGTCCAATTTATCATGATTGAAGTCTTGTCATTTTGTGTCTGGATATTATTAGTATGAAAAACAGAACCCAGAAATTACATAAGAGGTTTCTGTTTCAATTAGAAATAGGTAGGAGGGGGAAAAGCTTTAATTTTCACAGCATTTTTAATTTCATCGTATTAGTTTCACGAAGAAATGTAAATGCTACTCAGGGAGTCAAAAATTCTGTGAAAATTGTTATCTTTTAGCAGTTATTATTGAATGCAACTTTTCTTTTGCCTGTTTTGGTTCAAGATTTGTCCTTCTTTATGCTGGTCTTTTTTCACTATTTTTTTTTTAATCGTTAAATGTAAAATTTTCAGAGATCAAAACTCGAGGGCATACGCAGGCAAGCAAAGATCAAATGACAAATACATGTACATCGGGCATATCCTAGTAAATAAAATAAAATGATATATCAACGATAATTTAAGAACCCACTGCTAAAGACTCGAATTGAATCAAAATATTCGTGTGTTTTTATCCATCTTATAATAGAATCAACTTATGGTCTAAGATTTTCAAAGATACTACTATTCCTTGCCGTCCAAATATAGTACACAGTAAAATTTTTGCTACTTGAACTTGAAAGAATTTTACTTGTCTTTATATCATGAAATTTAAAATCAACCTAACAACTTAAACATTTACTTGTAAGTTGCTATGGGCAATTTAAAGAAAGTTTATGCCCAGAAGGGTAATTTTATTTGGTCAACATCGATATTTACGAGTCTGTAGCTGTACTTCTGCTGGTGGGGAAAGATAGGCGTTGGGATTTGAAACTATGAATAAAATGCAGCAGCTATTTTAATGCACTTTAATGATAATAATTAATATATCCTATATGTTAACTTAATGCCCCTTAATGACAATAATTAATATATCATATATTTAAACACTCGTGATATTAACATCGAAGCTTCTTTCATCATGCCTCCTCCTTCCGATGAGAATCATTTTTGACTACTTGATTATTCTTCTTACTTGTACATAAATAATTATATAATAGTTTATATATAAATTATATGTCAAAAATAGAAAAAAAGTATTGTTTTTTTATTAAAGAAATTCTGACTTAATTATATTTCACCACATCATATACATATAAATTTATTATGTACATGTAGCAAAATCGTTCTAGACCTTGTTTACTTGTACACTGTTCGACAGAAACGATGATAAATGAAATTTTTAGAAACATTTCAACATTTTTTTAATTACCACAAACTCCACATCGGCAAGCAAAATTTAATCTATCATTCCTTCTATCAAAGAAAATGTACAAATAGCTTAATTCTTTCAATCATGCTGGGGTGCAATAATTATTTTGACACCCCAACTGACCTGCACTCACAATCGCGATGGGTAGGGTTCCATTTTTTACATTTTTAATTCACATGAGGTCGACGTGGGTCTCATACCAATGTGAGGATCGATCACTTAAATGGGCAAAATTCATCTGGTATACTGACTTTATTCTAATTCTTTATATTATATATTTGTGTGTGACTCCAAGGGTCACTTGATGGTTAAATTACACCCACTATTTTGCATGTTGAAATCAATGCGCCCAAGCAAGGAAAGGTACGTCCACTGTGGCTACTAGTAGGGGGAAAATAATAATTAAAAACTCAATTCTAAGCGCTGTATGACATATTAATTTATTTTTCCTATTTATTTTTAATCACATTAATTAAAAACTCAATTCTAACCTTTAAAAAGTTTTTTTTCTCTCATTAAAACAAAAAAAAAAACTTTATTTCGAGCAGGATTTAATTGAAAAATCTATATGTTACTTGCTTTCAACACTAATCAAGGCAAGAAATGAACATATTTGGCTGAGTTTATTAGTATTTTTTAGCACTGTAAAGAGATTTAATACAGAAGAGACATTTCACGGTTTAACTTTATGATTTTCTCTCATTATAGTTGACGTGATGTGTATCTGCATTACAGCATCAGTATGAAGTAGCCACAAAAATTTGGATTAATATATTTTGACAGAAGAAAATTGATATGATAGACGTGTATGTGACAATAGAAGAGCGGATAAAAAAGTTGAACGTGTTTTAAATGGTCCAATAATAGGATTTTAAGTGATATTATGTCAATCATTGTGTTATTGTAGTGTAGTTGCAAAAACTTATATAAAACTTCAGGTTCATTGAGCCGGGCTGTTTACTGTTTCAAATTTTGAAGCATCATAGTATAACTGATTTAATATGATATTCCTCTATTATTTAGTATTATAATTTTTGGAATTGTGTTTTTTTTTTTTTTTAAGGATGTGTGGTTGAGAAAGAAAAAATATTTTTTTATTTACGTGTAATATTATTTTATGAAATATTGTATGATTGAAAATAAGACATAAAAATTATAATGTGACATAATGGGGTCAAACGGCGGCAAATATTATCGTGAATTAAATTGGATAGTATTAAAGAAGGATTGTAGTGGTGGCTCGGCCTATCTACCCACTAGCTCGGCTCGTCACTTTTGACAAGTCAAGCCACAAGCTCAAGATTTTTTAATTTTTAATTCTTTTGGATTTTTTTTTGTTCACATTTTTTTCGAACCCATGAACTCGTGAACTTTAAATTCGTGGGACCACGAACCATTTGTGAGCTCAATGAACTGAGCGACTCCCACTCATCTCAAGCTCATTCCAAAACGAGTTTGAACCATCCATAGGCTGAATTTTGGCTAGTCAAGTCGACGAATCGACAAACTACTTGACCCTTTATCACCTTAAATGATTGTAATTATTTATTTTAATTTATTCTTTAACTGGGTCATTTTCGAAAAAAATTCAAAGATCGTCGCAATCGACAGATTTCGACTGCAACAGTAGCAGCAAAGGAAGTTAATCATTAGCAAATCTGAAGGACCCACTAGAGAATCTTTATGCTAGTGAAAGAGAGGTCCATCAAATCAAGAAAATATCGAATGCGTTTCTTGTAAAATCAATGCCAAATTTATAATTTAATCTAAACATTGTGTCCATCTGCTCTCACTCTTCACAGATTTTGCAGAATTGTATGCAATGTTCTGACTACTGAGTGCATTCTAATTATGTCTCTGTCCAATGGGCACTTAATGCTCGTCAGGGCAGTCATTGTTACCAGCACTATTTGTTTCCATATATCCAGTAAATGATTAGGTTTTGTATCAAATATGGTGCCAATATATAAGTAACACTGTTATTTTCCTTTCCTTTCCTCACTAGGGGTAGAATAAAAGCTTTTTATTTGTTATCGTGGCACAAGAATCTTATTTACAATTTTCTCCAAACGTGAAAAGCATAAGATTTTCGTGCCACATCGATAAGTGAAACCTGTCCACTGTAAAAAGGAGAACAATTTCAAAGTCACTGAATATTTGTTCAAAATCAATGAAATGATAATGAGCTAATTGGTGAGCTAAATTGTGGAATTAGTAGAATAAAAAGAAATTGAAAAATGAAAATTTTGATTTTTGTCTATGCGTACGCACAGGCTTAATTTTGTGTGTACATGAGATGTGTTTTGGCTAAAACATAACTTGGGGGCCATTTGCCATTTTTCATATTGTTTTGGCACCATTTCATAATGTATTGATTGATGCCTATAAATATGTGATGAATGATCAATACAAATACATTAAAAATATTGAAAACATATTGAGATCCACATATCATTACATATTGAATCAAACTGTTGATTTACATTCATATTCAAGATCTTTCTTTGTATTCTTAAAGTTCTAGAGGGTTACACTTGTGCTTTGGTGTAAAATCATTTACAAGACTTGATATAATCCTACAAACCATTTACCAAAATCTTTAAGTATCTCATTCAATTCCGAGAGGGGGCAAATATAGTTTGAGGGCAGCGATTACGCATTTGAGTCTTCATATTCGTTATGTTCTTTACCTTCTTGATCACATTTCTAGTTGTTTGTTTTTTCTCCATTTTTCGAGTTGATGTAAATTTTCCAACAATCTCAAACTATATCATGCGATGGAAAACGTTATCACTTTAGCAAGATCAAGTCGATGAAATTCAGTTCCTGGTTGGATATTTGATGGGCGAACTTCATATGAAGGCTAGTACAAATTGAAGTTTCTGATGACGAAATTGAAGATCTCCTATATTCTAATTTCGGGTTTGGCGATGCTATCGAAATCAACATTTTTTTGGCGAAAGAAATTTGGAAAGGTTGAAAAGAAATGATTTCATTGAAAAATAAAAGAATAGAATCTGTCATCATGAATTCATTTCTGATAATATTCATTTATCTTCTTAAATTCCACTTTGGTAAGCGATATAATGATCTTCTCACATGCAATCCCCCATGAATTTAATTTCAGTTGTGCATAATTTGTTGAATGTGTTTGTGAAAGTGGAAATATGGAAATCATGGTGTTGCATGAAAATTAAAATTGCATATTCATTTGTAAGGTATGTGTTTATAAACATTTGATGAATTTGAATATGAATTTTCATGATCATCTAGAACTTCCTATTAGATGAAAGATATGAATATTGTGTCAACAATTATGAATTGCATAATTATATAAATTCTTTGTTTGATATATTTGATGGATTAAAACATTTATGAAAGGAGAAAAGGTAGAGAAGTCCTTATACATATAATTAAAAGGATAAAATACACTAAGTCCAAGTGGATGAATTGGGTGAAAACCAGTCACGAAGTTTGCAAAACCAATGTGAATATTTAAGAATATTCATAAGTTGAAGATCATTGTAATATTTCAATGATGAAATCTGAATACCCAAGTATGAAATCCACAATAAAAGTAATTCACTAATATAATAATTTGATGGAAATCATCCGACGGTATTTTGAAAATTTATAAAGCTTTAGATAAAGCTAATAAGAAGTATGTGGTTTCATAAAAGATTCCTTGGTGGTAACAAGATGTAACTATCAAATGAATCATTCGTTGGCTTCAAGTAGAATGGGGTTGAAACTCCTAAACTAAAAGGTCTACTAATGATGGCAACCTTACCTGTCATTACTCAAAAAGTAATCCACGGGTTCAAAGGGTAACAATAAATCATTCGATATGTGAATAGTTGCAGCATTATTAAAATCTGTGATAACCCTATCTTAATTAAAATAATGCTGGTTGTTATTGAAAAAAGGGTTGAGCATTAAAAGTCTTAATAAAGTTCAATGCTAAAACATAAGTAATTTTAAAAGTAACAAAGGTACTGGAAGAACTTCACCT